GACGGCAACATATGTACAAATATGCTTGATATGATGGATGGATGGATGGTGACAGGAGCTATACGAACCCCCAATAACATTATTTTAAAAAATAAAAATTTCAAAAAGTAAAAAAATAAAGGTAGCATATGAGCAAGAACTAATGGTACTGAAGGAAGAAGCTCAAGTTGCACTGAAAGCATCAGCCAAAAACATGGATCCAGGAATTGATGGAACCCCAACTGGAATATTTCAATCAGTTAATGAAGCACTGGGAGCACGCACTCATCTATGCCAGGAAACTTGGAAGATGGCTAGCCAACTGACTAGAAGAGATCCATATTTGTACCCATTCCAAAGAAAGGTGACCCAGCAGTGCTCCAAGTATGCAAGAATGTCATTAATATCACATGCAAGTACAGTGTTCCTAAAGATCATCCAGTGATTGCAGCAGTACAGACAGGTGCTGCCAGCGGTTCAAGGTGGATGCAGAAGAGAAAGTGTAACAAGGGACATCGCTGATGTCAGATGGATCTTGGTTGGAAGCAGAGAACACCAGAAAGATGTTTACTTGTGTTTATTGACTGTGCCAAGGCTTTCAACTGTGTGGATCATAAACTATGGATAGCCTCGAGAAGAATGGGAATTCCAGAACACTGTGCTGTGCTCATGTGGAACTTGTACGTGGATCAACAGGCAGTTGTGGGACAGAACAAGGACATACTGCATGGTTTTAATCAGGAAAGGCCTATGTCAGGGTTGTGACCTCTCACCGTAATTATTCAATCTGTATGCTGAACAAATTATCAGAGAAGCTGGATTAAGTGAAGAGTAAAGCATCAGGATTGGAGGAAAGCTGATTAACAACTGAGATATGCAGATGACACAACCTTGCTTGCTCAATGTGGACTTGTAGCACTTGCTGGTGAAGATCAAGGATTGTAAGCTTCATTAGGGATTGCAACTCAGTGTTAAGAAAGACCACAGTCCTCACAACTGGACCAACAGGCAACACCATGATAAACGGAGAAAAGCTTAAAGTTGTCAAGGATTTTGTCTTGCTGGGATCCAAAATCAGTGTTCATGGAAGCAGCAGGCAAGCGATCAGAAGCAGCTTGCATCAACTGGGCCAATCTGCTGCACCAGAGCTCTTTTAGAGTACTGAAAAGCAAGGATGTGACTTTGAGGTCTAAGGTGTGCCTGGCCCAAGCATGTGAGAGTTGGACAGACAGAAGACAAATCAATGCATTTGAATCGTGATGCTGGTGACGAACAAAGTACCAAGGACCATCAAAAGGACAAACAAATCTATCTTGGAAGAAGTCTGGCCAGTGTCCTTAGAGGCTAGGATGGTGTGACTTCTCTTACATACTTGACTTTGGACATGTTACTAGGGGAAACCAGTCCTTGGAGAAGCATATCAAGCTTGGTAAAGTGGAGGAGCAACCAAGAGGAAGGCCCTCAAGGAGATGGATTGCCCCAGTGGCTGCAACCATGAGCTGAAACTTAAGAACAACTGTGAGGATGGTTCGGGACGGGGTAGTGTTTCTTCTGTTGTAAATGGGGCCACTATGAGCCAACCACCACCACCGTGTGGAAGCAAACTGGCTGAGAAAAACACCGTCTCAGACAGTCTTCATGAAGCACGCACAGAACCGCTCGATGGCACGGCACGAGTCCCTGGACTAGCTGACTCAGAAGCCTGGCAGCTCCCATTTGTCAGAGGCGAATGGGAGGCAGTTGGCACAGCGACTTTGGGGTTGGGCCTTGGAAGCCAGATCTCACCGCGGGTTTCAAAAGCTTTGGGCATCACTAACCAGCTGTGCTACCCTAGGCAGATGACTCATCTGGGCCGGGTTCTCTCTAAATAGGCAGGTGCTCCTGCCTATGGGGCAGCTATTACAACCCTCAGCCAATTGTCTGTGAAACACAATGCCCACCCAGCACATGCTCTAGTGAACTCACAGTGGTAAATGTTCCCGGGAGCTTCTGGAAACCGTTACAACAAAGGGGCAGGGGGCAGTTTGCTACCCAAGACAATGACGGGCATGAGAATGAGTAATCCAAGCATGACAATGCAAATTTACGGAAACATTTCTTGGATACATACTATGAAGGGGCTTTAAAAAGTTCGGAGAGAAAATAAGACAACTGAGTGTTTCCACAAGCTTTTGTTTTGTTAATCCTTTTGAATGTGCCTGGTACTGGGGGACGGGGTATACATGTGTCGGGATGACCTCAAACCATTTACATCCCAAAATTACTCAGTCCAGACAGGGAGAACCAGACAGGCTTAACCAGACCCTCAGAGCCCCGCACAAGGAAATGGCAGACATTTGGTAATGGCCACACCAAGTGTGCGACTCCTAGTATGTAGCAGGCAGTAATGTTCCTTGAAAGGCCAAGGCTGATGGGTCCAATCAGGACAAGCTTCAAAACGAAAATCTGAAGGGCCAACATCTCTAATTGTCAGCCTCAGCAGATCCCGAATGGGCATGCTGGCAGTAATGACACACGCACGCACACTGATGGGGCAGCGAAGCTGCTTCACAAGTCTCACCAACACTCGTGCAGAGACAGAGAAGCCCAAACCGTCATTCAAGGAGGGACACAGAATGGATAATAATACCTTTTAATGTTTCACATTGTTTTTCCCCCCAGAAGATTTGTAACAAAACAACATGGAATTTAGTATGGGTGTCAGTAGATTTGGCAGTTACAGAACTAAATAGACGTTGTTCTTGTAAGAGCAGAACATTCCATTTGAAGAAAAGAAAAATTACAACATGATTAGGCATGATCATCTCATACTGCCTATTGTTCTAATTTAAGAGCTTTGGATGGGGCAGGGGGTAATTTAAAAACATAAAACTTATCACAGTCAATTGTGCCAACGCCCTCCCACCACGGTTTCCCTCCCCACCCCCACCCCACCCCACCCCCACCCCCGCCTATTTGCTGGGATGGGAAAGGAGGCAGGGTCATTGGGGGGCAGGGGCAGGCCTCTGAACCTCCCCCCGCAGTACCCCTCTGATGGAGAATGTCGAGTGTGGGAAAGGAGTGCGCTGGCAGGGGCCTGCTGTCGGCTGCACATCCAAACCTCGACTTGCACAGTGAGGAGAGGGAGGGCCTGGAAGCACGGCTCAGCCAGCCCTTCACACACTCACCGAACCGGGGCCTCAATACCATGCTGCAAGCTGGAATGCTAACAAAACAGACACACGCTGATGACAATCCCACCAGGCACAACGGAGTAAGTCAAACTCCATTTGGTTTTTGAAATGAAAATCCTTCACTCATCCACCTGTGTTCAATAATAATAATAATAACTTACGGTATGAACAGCTTCCTTCAAGAAGCAATTACCACCTAAGTGGAAATCCTAAGCATGGGGAGACTCATTTTTCTATGAAGGTCATTCTTAGGAAGGAGCAGATACGCGACACACCATGTTTTTGAACATTTTTGAAGAGTCCCCCAAAAGAGCGTCAAAGGAGTACAGTGTTTCCCATTGCCAAAAGCCTCGGCTCAGACTGTTACACCGAATAAAGCTGGCTTTCCCCTCGCCCCCGTGGAAACCGCACTCTGTGAGCCTGCTGCCTAGCCCATGTAGTGTAGGTTACTTCAGACGGGAGGGCAAGAGGCCATGCCCGTCCAGCCCCAACTAAAACATAACCGCCGCCAGTGACGCAGGCCAGCCACAGGTCTGCCTGCCTCAGACGGGCAACGAACTAGAAAAGGGCAAAGGTTGGTGAAGTCCAACTGTGGTTTACCCCTCGGGGCCAGCTGGGTAGACAGAGGTCATTCAAGGGGTGAGTCTGTGGAGCTTCGAAGCAACCAACAGGACACTTGACTTGGAATGCTCCAGCCTGGACTTGCTGTGGGACAAAAATAAATCTACGGCTACAGTTCGTCACCTCTAGGGTCATTAACACCATGTAGGGACACAGAGTCGACATGGGGAAGCAGGACACAGGACAGAAAGGTTGGGAGAAACTGATGAGACAGATGTTCCATCGCTGCCCGCCACTCGGGCTTGGGGCAAGCGATTTCATGAACGCATCTCTTGATGCACTGCCACTATCAGCTTCGAGTCCACGTGGTTAGCCCAGTGCGATGCTGGCTGCCTTCTGTTCACCACCTCCTACAGGAGATCCCAGGGGGGCTGGAGTGGTAAGCACAGGCCACGTAGGCGCCTCAGCCCGAGGGCCTTCCTGAGAACATGGCCTTGGCCCTGGGCGGTGGTGTGACGGCTTGGCAGCAGCACCCACTGGGGCTTAACCTCAGCAGCCAGTCTGCAGGATGCTTCCTCCTGAGCGCTTGGTCACCGACAGTGTGGTGAACACCTGTAGAGGAGAAAGGAAATTTTCACAAACCCCACAACACGAGTGATAGCACACTAGAACCACTATAGTGACCCCTTAAGTGAGTCAGACCAATGAGTTAATTAATTGGACCCAAAGTGACCTGGAAATAGCTAGAGTAAAGTGACCAGACGTCCTGCTTTTGGCAGGACAGTCCCGATTTCTAACAATTTTTCCCGCATCCCGCGGCGGTTTAAAAAAGTCCCGATTTTTGGAAAGAATGCATAACAAGCTAGGGTATACAGTTTTCAGCTGCCATGTGGCTATTTCGCCAGGATATGAGTTTTATCAATGGTGTCCCACTTTACCAATGTTAAAATCTGGTCACCTTAAGCTAGAGGGTAAAGGGATAGATACATGGTAAAACCGAGGAGGAAAAATAAAAAGATGGCATCCAGTGAAGCGCTGTTAGCACAGGACTGGTTCAAACAATGACAACAAGCATCTTAAACTGAGTGGCAATTTTCAACAACAAATTCATCGTGCAGTAGTCTGAGCCTAAGACAAAGCCTGCCCTCACAATGCCTGGTATACGGGAGTGTCCCTGCCCAGCCCCCTCCTCCCAGCGCGTATTGCCCTGGGCCTTTCTTCGGGCATCTCGTCCGGATGTTTCATAAACATCAGGTCAATGACGACAGTGCCTGTGCTCTCTGCACCTGCTTCCCGGGCGCCGTACAGCACTGCTGCTCCCCCAGGAGGCTCCACATGACTGAAATCCTTTCCCTGACCACCCCACTCAGATCTCCTTCAGAGCACAGGGTATTTGGAGGCCCTGCGTGGGACAGTTAAGCAAGGGGCTGCTAAACAAAAGACTGGTGGGGTTCAAGTCCACCCATCTACTGCCAGAAAGCCAACCACTGAACACCCTGTGGAACACAGTTCTACTCTGTTACACAAGGAGTTGCCATGAGCGGGAATCAAGTCAGTGGCAACTGGTTTAAAATATACACACTCATCTCCCAAAGAGCAGCTAGTGAGTTTGAACCACCAACCGTATGGGCTAGTAGCCCAGTGCTTAATCCAAAGCACCACCAGGGCTGTTACTAATACTAAATTGTTCAGCTATTCCAAGACTTCTATTTTTATGGATTCATGTGTTTACATATGTACACACCTCTGTTAAGACCTATCTATAGCTTTGCTTCCTAGAGCTTTCCTGTTTCCTCTGCCTGCTCCTGCCCCACTATCACATTCCCCCTTCTTCCACCTCTTATTACTTCCTCTCAGCTAGAATGGTGTTGGTCTAATACCCACAGGATCTCTACAACCTCCTAGATGTTGGTTTTAATTCCCTGGCTGTTCCCCTGTCTATGCGTTGTTTGCTCACCACACCCTTCTCCCCTGCCACCTTCTCCCCACAAGACCCTTTGGTGCCATTGACCTCGCAGCTCTCTCCCCGAGCTTGCTTCCCATGTCTGTCATAGAAGTAGGCAAACCAGCAATGTCCTGGTCCCAACAATAAGAAAACAAAAGGTTGGAAAAAGGAAAGAAAGAAACAAAAAAAATATATAATAGTTCCAGGCTTGTCTGCTGACCTTTTTGAATCTCTTGCCCCTGGTCCTGGGCGGGTTCCGGGGGCAGACCCTCCAAGCCCAAAGTCTATTTTGGGGGCTCTTTAGAGGCTTTGTGTGGATTGGCTTTGCTCCCATTGCTGATCTGTTATGCTCCCTACTTGGTTTGTCCTGCTGCGGGGGATTCACACCACGTTATCTCCCCGCCATGTGTCCCCATCGTTGTCCTCTGTTGCGGTACGCTCCAATTAGAGGACAACATGTCTTGAGTTGTTGGTGGTCCTACAGTCCTGTGTGTGCCTTAGCAGCTCTGTGCAGGGACCTCGTCCTCCGGACCTGGTGTGCCAATGTGGAGTGTAGGCCGACTGTCCGTCTTTCTCCTCCTTGGTTTGCTTCCGTGTGAGCGTGCCAAGTCGGCTCCTTCCCCTCCCTGAAGGTGTAGTGTTGTTCTCTGTGGCATATACTTCTAGGGCAGGGGTCAGATGGGCTCTGGTTGGGGCTGGCCCTGTAGCCATCTTTTCATGCAATCCTCCACGTGGTTATGTTGCCCTCCGTGTAGATAATGCCAAAGTACACATTCAAGCTTCTTTTGCTGGCGTCCAGAACATTATTCATGGTTCAAACATGCTACTGTTTTATAAAGCAAAGATGTCCCTCTGATGACTAGTGTGCCTGACCCTTCAGCCATGGTATTTTTTAACTGCACGGGGAGCTGGACAGTGAAAATGAAGACCAAAGAAGTGAAGCAGTCATTTGGTGGTCGCGAACACAGAGTGCACGCCGACAGCCAGAAGAATGACGAGTTGGGTCTCGGAGGAAACACAGCTAGAATACTCCTCAGAATCAAGGCTACTGAGACTCACTTACTTGAGGACACGCGATCAGAAAGGACCAGTCCCTGGAGGAGGACACTGGTAGACGACCAACAAGTTGGACTGACACAGCGTTACCACAATGGGCTTAAACATGGCTATGCGTCAGGGTGGCACTGGACTAAGCAGTGATAGCTGTAGGGTGGCGAGGAGCCAGAACCTACCAGTAACTGTGGGGAGGCATGCTTCCCTGCACACACTCAAGAGCAGGTCTCTGTCATTTGCAGGGCTCAAGAGCTCATTGGTCAGTGCTAACTGCACGGTCAGCGGTTCGAAACCACCAGCTACTCCAAAGCAGCTTAGTTGAGTTACGGTGTTGGTGAAGAATATTTAACCCACATAGACGACCAGAAGACAAACAAATCTATCTTAGAGAAACATTTTTGATCCAGAATGCTCCTTAAAGGCATGGGTGGTGGGACTTCATTTTAGTCTACTAAAACCTGGTCAGCATCATAGGGACCTATCAGCATCCACAGACATATCAGCATCCACGGACAAATGTGTAGCAATGGAGCACAACATGCACTGGTTGGGAATTGAACTTGGGTCTCCCACATGAAAGGCAAGAAGGATGAACCACTGGTGGGTTTACTTAGTAGTTTAAGCTGTTCAATACAAAGTTGCTAATCTGAAATATAAACGCCAACCTAATTTACAATGAAAAACTGTAACAAGATCAAACTGCGTAAGGCAACAGCTCAAGGGCTGAAGCTCAAGCTGGATCTGGACTCCCATAAACTTTCTACACCGACAGTGGACAGTGTCCGCAGTGCTGTGTCATTGGGGAATTGATGTCATCCGTGCAATCAACCTATACCCCAGGAGGATGACTGACAATGTTGTACTTTTGTGTGTATATGGGGTTTTGTGCTCCTGCCTTCAGCTGCCTCCCCGCCCCACCCCACTTTGTTTGCTGGTTACTAGTTTGTCACTGGTGCTCGGGTAGTTGGTCCTATGGAGAATTGATTTTGTCATAAGACAACTGCCAAAGTAAACTCAGTCGTGTATGTTTCTTGGACAAGCAGATGGATTCTGGGTTCCTACTGAACTCTAGCCCCAATCCAAGAACAGTTCTCATAACATGGCCTGCTTGACACTAGCCTTCATGAAATGATCACTGAAGATAAGGGTGCTACAGCAAAGTGTGGTAAAGAGAGCAGATGGTGCCTGGCTATCAGTCAGAATAGTGTCTGGGGTCTTAAAGGCTTTTATTCAAATAAGCAGTCAACTAAGTCCACATGGAACAAACACACCATTTTGTGTGATCCAAAGATGACAAAATCAAAATTCAAATACGATGATGGTAAAGTATCAGACCTAAAATGTGAACACCCCGTTTGTGGACGCCTGTGGAGGGCAGTGGGAGCCCACAACCCACCTGCAGAGTATCTAGTCAGATCCGCTGGCAGATCCCGTCTAGCCCCAGGCAAAGGTCTGGAACAGCCTTTCTATCAAACATAGATCATTGTAATCCTGAATAAGCGGGATCAAACTCGATACTTGGTCAGTTGACCTCCCTCTAGATCCAGCCTCAATTTGTTCTAGGTGCAAGGATCAATCTCTTCCCTCATTTTTTAAATATGGCGGTCTTTTCTTTCTTACTTATAGTTTGTGTTTTTATCTTTATATTACTATTATTTTATGCTTAGCACTTTATTTCACTTTTGCTCTTGTTTCTGTTGGGCTTACTAATTATGAAGCACAGAAGGAGTGGGTGCATAGAGATAATAACTGATGATAAGGTTTACAGGGGAGGTGGGGGGAGGAGGTTAGGGGATTTCAAGAGTAAACAATGAAGGCGAGATGGGGAGGGGGCACTAGAACTGAATGTGATTACACAATTTTAAAGGTGATTTAATCATGGTAGAAAAAAGTTAAGAAAATGTTCTAAAATAGATTGTAATGGTTATACAATTCTTGATATGGCCGAATTGGATGATGTGCAGATTAAGTGCCAATAAAACAAAACAAAAAAAAAAAAAGAGAAAGAAGCTAAGTAGTCAGTTATTGGAGCTTGTCCTTGAGCATTCTGAAGCCCCCTCACGTAGCACTTATACATTAAGGACAGATCGTTCCTGGTGGAAAACAATAAGGGGGACAAGCGAGAGAAGCCCTTAGCGGGCCACAGGGGTCGAGCATTCCACTGACGCCCTGAGTGTGATGGCGGGAGCGGCTTCTCCCTGGGGCGGCGAGATGCCAGGGTTTTTGCAGGCCTTTTAGGACTCTGAGGCCAGACTGCTTCACCGCTGCTACATGTCATCAGCACCTCAAGAATTCAGATCCAAATACTAATGGTCTGTATCTTACAAATGTTAAAATATGAACCCCCTCAAAAAATATGGGCAATTGATATTTTAAAAATCACCAGCTCTTCCTTGTTAGTTATAACTACAGAGAAATAAAAATGTACACCGAATTTTGAGACATTTTCACGAACACTCAAATTCAACACTGATGACACGGCAGTGCTTTTTTTTTGAAGAACAATCAAATTCCGTGGTTTAGAAAAAGTGTGGCTGTGGACAAGGACAGGAACAGAGCTGTTGGGATGCTGCTGCTTTGGGACACTGAAAATACCAAAGAGGCTTTCTTCTCTGTTTTTAAAAAGAAGATAAATGTACTTTACACAATTGATGTATGGATGGATTGTGATAAGAGTTGTATGAGCCCCTAATAAAATGATTTAAAAAAATAAAAAGCTAAGATGGCAAGACTGAAAAAAAGAAGATAAGCAGTCAGAGTGTCAGAGGATATAGCTGAACCAATGGTTTGTGAACAGACACGCTTGAGTTCTCTTTTATCAAGAATTAAGATTTTGATTAAAAAACAAAACCAACCTAAGCCCACCCAAAGAACAGCAGAGGGCAGCGATGCTACCCAGTTCTCTCTCCTGTGCTGAGACACGCGCTATGAGAAGATGGGGAGGCAAGGTGAGTTCTCATCACAGGACCTCTTTAAGAGGCCCGGGCCAGGAAGGCGGGCCACTACTACACAGCGCTCAAGGGGACAACAGCAGCACGGGCTTCGGTGAGGCTGCCACACAACTCTAGTGGCCCTCTATCAAGGCAGAGGTCACCCAATGCCTGGCCCTCAGCCCTCCCGGCTCCAGAAACGCTGCCTGCCTGCCCAAACAGTCTTGTTTGTCTGAGGGGCTGGGCCCACATCTCTCACAAGCTTGGAGGAGCAGCCAGTGCTGGAAGCCCAGCTTCTGTGGGGCCCCAGGCCCCTCATGGCCCCCTGCCTTCTAGGGAAGACTGCCCTTCCTGGGAATAATCCCATCCCCTAGGGCTCAGACCCAGCTCCATTGTCCCTCCCTCCCCTTCCTAGGAGGGGCTTGTCAAAGCCTAGGGGTGAGCATGAAGGCAGGGGGTGGGAGGGATGCCCAAGGCAGAGCCACAAGGAGGCCTGTGGGTCACTGAGCTGAGCCATGAGGTGGGGCTGGGAGGACTGGGGGCTGGCCTTCTTTGGTGGTCTCCCCCTCTGGTGGCCGGTGTACATGGATGAGAAAATACAGTTGTTCAAGTTTTCAGAACGAATGAAGAAAGAGAAATGAAAGAGGGAAGTCAAACCGCCATCACTAGTCTGGCGAGGCAAAAACACTGAGGGGCCCCTTGGGCAAAGCTTCTCTTTAGATACAGCAGCCCTAGAATTTTCATAAAATCGCATTTAGAAAAAAAATAACACATGGAGACTGCACCTTCACTGCTCCACTCCCTAGTCCATCTTATGGGTTCAGCCCCGCTCCCCTCCAGCCAGCCCCACGGGCCCTCCTTTTTGGGGCCAAGGATGGCAACACAGCCAGTAAAACAAACAGGGAAACAGGCTCAGCACAGGGTCCTTCTCCCCTCTTGAGCTATTATTCTTTCCCTACAAATAAACTTAATTCAAATTGCTACTTAAAATGATGTGTAATCAGTTTCCTATTCAATTACTGCTGCTTGCATGTCTAGAATAAATTATCACCGTCCCATATTCTCACTGAATAATGGGACTGCACCACGGGGGACGGGGTGCGGAGGGAGTAGTGAGCAGGGGGACACACATACAACGTAGACTGCTTTTCCCATCGACCCCCTCAAGCCCCAGGCAACACAAGCAATTCTGGAAGGAAACTCTTTGGAAATTGTTTGGCTTCAAAGAACAAAGCGATGAAGTGATCACCTCTCATTAGTAATTTCTCCTCAGAGTTATAGGTCGCTCTCAACCGCCCAGGTCATTTACCAAAACGGCACAAAAGCGGCCGCTCAACCCTTCATCTCACTCATAAACCAAACAACTGCCTCCAGGTGGCAGCTGTTTCGGAAGACTATCCAGCTCTGCCCAGGACCGTTTTGATTACTTCTGACTTGTCCATGGACACCTCACCCTAGGATTCCAGCTGCTGTTGTCAATTTGCTCTTGAAGGTCACATGTATTTCTGCTTCACGCGTTATCTCAGCATGGACCAGTAAGCAGGCGGTCCATGTTCCAGCCTAAGCTGCTTCCTTCTAGATTAAGTGGCTAGACAATAAAACACACAGACAACCCAGCAGTAAAGCCAGTTACCATCCAGGCCAGAATCCAGCATTCTGCAGAAGGGTCCTTAAAACAAAAGCCCTGAACTGCACTGCAGACCAAAGCACTGGGAGGTGCCACCTGACCCTTACTAAGATGGCTATGATCAAAACACACCTCCCAGTGCCCTGTGGGAAAGTAAAATGGCACAGCAGCAAGTTAAAGGTATAAGGACCAGAGATCAGCACTGGCCATTGTGCTTGCACAGAAGAACCCAAAGCAGCAGCAGACGGAGGCCTGGGCAGCAGTGCTCAGGGCAGCCACAGCCACAAGAGCCCCGGGGGTGGGAACAGCCTACATGCCCATCGACAGACAAACAGCTAAGCACAATATGTTGTTATATTTATAGTGGGTCATTATCACTCAGCCACAGAAAGAAGTTAATTTAATAGATGCGACAGCACGGGTGAACCCTGTCACAACCGCAGGGACTCTATGACTGCACTTACATGAACTATCTGGAACAGGCAAGCGTATAGAGACCAGTTTTTCATGATGACGGGGGTGGTGTGTGGGGGGATACATTTCTTAGGGGGCTCTGCGCTTCTACAGGAGGAGACAGAAATGAGTTCCCATGTTAAGGGTTAGGCATCAGAAAGCCTCTAGTCTTACAAATCACAATCAGTAGCCTTTCCACAGTCTGCACACCTGTCCCGAGCACTCATTAAAAACACAGGCCGTGCAAAAAAAAAAAAAACACAGGCCGTGCATCCTCTAGTCTAACCAAGTTTGCAAGGTGGAATTGGGGTCATGATAGTTGGGGGGAGGAAGTGTTTAAGAACTATTGCTATACTGAAAAAATTGAGCAGAGAGCTACCAGCGGCAGTTACTGAGCACCTTCCACCTGCAAGGAGCTCGGAGCCACTTCTCACAGCGCACCTGGCACCAGGCAATTGTTTCCAATGTTCAAATTCTAAGCCAAGGGCAGTGAGAAGTCTGTGGAAGTGATCGACCACTATCTGTGCAGCAGGGCATCTCTGAAGCCGGTGGCCTGGACTGGACTCTCAGCCCTGGTGCTTCCAAACCGGCTACCTGTAGACCAGGAAACAGGACTCAGCTCCTCCTCCTCCGTCTCCTAGAGACAGTGTTGCCATCTACTTCAGAGTTCTTGTAAGAGCCACCGGGCACCTGGCAGCCTGCACACTCCAGCTCTGCCCTCGCTGACACTCCTCCCTGCTCTTCCCCTCAGCTCACAAACACGCATGGTTGTCCCTTCTTCCCATTTCCCATCAGCTGGCAAGTCATACCTCGCCTACAGCCTAAGTGCCTCTAAAACACATTCGCCTCCTCTCCATTTTCCACTGCTGCTAGCCCAGCACAGTCACTTCTCATGTCTGCTGCACAGCGATCTAAGTGGATCTCCCTCTAGACACGTCTCCTCCTGGCTGTTCATCACACAGCAGCCTGGTATTTCTTTGGCCTAAGTTACCTGACCATGTTACTCCACTGTTCAAACTTTTCAACTGAATCTCAATGCCCCACGAATAAAGTCCATTAAGTTTACCGAATTCCTCCAGCATGCCCTGTCCCACCCCCCAAAAGTTTAGTTAGGGTCTGCCAGGACCTTCAAGGAGCCACGCTGCCTCTGGGAGCCATGAGCCCTCGTATGCCTTCCCCCCTGAGACAGTGGAGGCGCTAGCCTGACCCTAGAACTCCCTCACTGGCCTCCTCTGCTCTGGGCTCCTACCCAGCCACTACTGCCTCCTGAGAACCGGAGCAGCGCCTGGCAAACTTAGCACCCAGGAAGCAAGATCGCCCGATGCTCCCCAACCTCCTTAAGAGGAAAAGGTGTTTCCAAAACCCTGGAACATTTAGTACCCTGAGCTTCCAGGGGACTAACAAGTTGAGATGCACAGCAACAGACCTTCAGAAAGGGGTCCCACTCGTACCCGCTAGCCCACTGGTCACTCACTGGCTGGCTTGCTCTTGAGCAGGGACTTCATGACAGCTGGCCTCTTCACCACACCTTCTGACCAGTGAGGTGCTGCCTTGCAACCACTGCATGGTGACATCATAACTTCCAGAATGAATGGTCAGAACTCAGTAGGTGGCAGCTTTCTTCTTTCCTTCAGCCCACTGAGAGCCGAGTTTAGATAACTCACTCCACCCCCACTAACCGATAGCTGTGGTTTTTAAATGCGCCACTAAGTGTCTTTGAAAATACTAAAGCTGACCGGCTTGTCTGTGACCTGACACGAGTATGTGTATGAGAAGGGGGCACAAGGCACACCCTGGAAACCACCAGAGATGCTGAGCAGCCAACAGCGGGAATGTTCAACTCCATCCAAGCTGGAAAATTTGAGATGCCTCCTCCCAACTTTCACTGCTTGCCTGTGTGGGCTGGTCTGTGTTACCACCGCCTTGTAGCATCCGACAGCCAACTGTTGGAGGACCACTGGGACTCCTGCATAAACACTGCTACCCAGAGGCCCAGACTCATCAATGGGCAGTTCTCTTGTCATTTGCTTGATTTTTTAAAAGCATCACCACCAAATCTCATACTTTGATACCAAGAGCTCAGGAGGCACACAACATCATTCAGCCTCAAGGTAGCTGGGGGAACTGGGACTGAAGCACTTCGTTCGTGGAGATGAACAGTGTTAACAACAAGTATTTGGGATAGGTGATGAATTAAGGATTTAAAGAACAGCTATAAATGATCCTGATCATTTTGAACACCACGACAGCATGACCAGTCAACACCAGGACAACTTAAATATCTGAAGGAGGAAAAATGGATTCTAGAGACAGGCCTGCTTTGAATTACTCGCCGTGGCTAGTGGCCTATAGGAAGAAATGTGCGCAGATGCTGCGCGTTTCCAGGCAGAGCCGAGAACGCTAGTCACCCACCTCTGCACAGACAGGGTGGATCCCGATGGTGCTGTCCAGCTGCTCTTTGGTCAGCCCACACTTCAACGCTGCTGCAAAGCCCTGAGTCACTTCTCCGGCATTCGGACCAAGAACGTGGAAGCCCACCACGCGTTCCTAGGACGGAATAAAGACAGGAAACTCAGTGGAGCTATTTTCTTCTCTCCTCCTGCACAGCCTTGGAACCGTGGCCAGTCTTCTCTTAAAACGACTCATTTCAGAAACAGCCAAGGCTTCGCTTAGGAGCTGTTGAGGCCAAGACAAGGCAGAACCAAGTGCTGATGAGAAAGCTTAAAAGCAGAAACGTCCGCAGCCCCTCAAGACGATGCTGCACAGAGAGGCAGGGACATTTTCAGGTCTAGCTGGCGGCCTCGGAGCTCCGCTAACAGTGAGGGCATTCTTTCGCGCCTCTACACTGCCACCAAGGTCTCCGGGACAAAGGAGCTGGGCGAGTAGGCACACACTCATACTCCTGTGCGGAGTTAAAGGGTAAACTGCGCTTCTTACTGTACGGGCAGCAGGAAGGAAAGCTTGGCAAACGTCAATTAAATTCCATTCCTTGTTTTATGGGTAAGCACACACTCAGTGAGGTCAAGGAGTTTGGCCGCTGGCTCCCCACCCCCCAACACATAGGCCTTTGGCTACGGAGTGATAGGTGCAGAGCAGACAATGAAATCCTACCTCAGAACCCAATTAACAGTTCTGCAACTCTGCCCAAGGCAGCTTTCTCATTAGTGCCAACTGCTCAGCACTCGAACTTGCAAGACTCTCGCACCTTGTGTGGCCCCTTATTTTCAGAGTGAATGATCTCCCTGTTCTCCCTTTTATAGGCAGACACACAGGGCTCCTTTGTTTTATCCACTCCGTAAGTGTTGGCTGCACCTGCCTGCTCCGTGTCAGGAGGGTCCTGTGCTAGGGACGGTAAGGAGAGACTCGGCAGTGGAGTCATGGTCCCTGGTCCCTGATCCTTTCTATGTAGGTGGGGTGACACAGAACATACTCAAGGAATACAGTATGTATTGTGGGATAAAAACAAAGCTCCTTAATACTAAAGACAAAATGAAATGATTGGAAGGCATTCAAGAAGAATTGTACTTACATGGTCTCTGATGTTACAGACGATTTTTGCATAACATTTGTTGTTATCTCTGGATGGAATCGTCCACTCCAATGGCCAGAAGTAACTGTGGTACACCTACGGAGGTAGAATGCCAGTTGAAATCACTTTCTTCAGCAGCTCATTTATAACACGCTAAGTGTGGTGCAAAGAGCACAGAGGCTTTTAGGAACTAGAGTGTCATGAAACAATAAGCTTCATGGATTAAATAGGAATTTGGTGAGAAAGCAAAGGACTTTTAACTACTCATTTTGAGGCCCCTTTCACTGTATCACCCCGTCCTTGTATCTCAACCTCAAAAGACTAAGCCTCAGATAGTAACAGCAATGACCAAGAGCAATCAAATGAGCCAACTCACTGTCTTCCCTTGAAAGCAAACAGCAGTCAGTGTTGTTAGCATATAGCAGGACAATCTGCCATTCATTGCGATCGGTGTCCCCCTTCCTCCCTGCCTCTCCCCCCCTCCTCCACCTTACCCTTTTGGTATCTCATTCCCATTCCTGTTCCTGGGTTCCATGTGTTGTGAGTTTTGTCTCTTGCCTATACCTATGTACATGCTTCCGTCTAGTCTAGAGTGGGAAGCGGCACTGGGGTCATGATAGTGGAGGGTGAGGAGGCCTCAAGAGATCAGAGGTATATTGCATGACCCATTAGTGCTCTACTGCACCCTGATTGACTCACCCCTGCCACCCCTCTATGGGGGGATGTTCTAATGTCCATAGATGGCTTTGGGTCTCCACTCCAACCCCCTTCCACTCTCACCAATGCATTTTTGTTTGTTTGTTTACTGTTTGTTGTGAGTCTTTTGATGCCTGTTGCCCATCTCGATGACCCCTCATGATCACACCGGTGTGCTTCTTCCATGTGGGCTTGTTGTTTCACTGTTGGCTGGCCACTTGTTTGACTTCAAGCCTTTAAGACCCCAGACACTGTATCTTTTAATAGCCAGCACCACCATCTGTCTTCACCACATCTGCTTATGTACTCATTTTGTCTTCAGCAATCGTGTGTGGGGGGGGTGGGGGTCATAAGCATCACAAAATGCCAATTTGTTAAAACAAAGTGTTTTTGTATTGAGGGAAGGTAAGAGCCCAGGCCCAAGGCCCACCTGCAGCTTCAGTGTATTGCCTTATAAATAAATATAGGTACATAGGCCAATACCATATTGTTGTGAATTAATATATTCACATAAGTACACACCTCTGTTAATCTCCCTATCTATGCCTTTGCTTCCTAGAGCTTGCCTCTGTTTCCTTTTGCCACCTCCTGTCCCACCATCACTTTCCACCTCTTAGTGCTTCCTCTCCACTAGCTTGGTGTTGCTCTAATACTCAGGATCTCTACCCTCTCCTAGATGCTGGTTCCGGAAGAACAACAAAAACCAGAGGGGAAGGGAGACAGCAGTTGGCGTGAGATTTGAAAATAATTAACAATCTACAATCTATCAAGGGACCACGAGAGGTGGGGGCGGGGAGAAGGGGGTCGGGAGCTGATCTCAAGGGCTCAATGGAAAGTAAACGTCTAGAGAAGAATGATGGAATATATGTACGAATCTGTCAGGTACAACTGATGTATGGATTGTAACAAGAGTTGTAAGATCCCCCAATAAAATGATTATATATCAAAATTAATTTAAAAAGGAGGACCGTTTGGGCAAGAAACAAGTGAGGAGCCACAAACAAGGACGCTGTCATCGCAGTTCTTCTGCCCTTCCTCCGGAGGCATTCCTGCCTTCTAAGCGTCAGGGCCACAGAAAGAAAAGGCAACGAGAGAAGGAAGGAAATGGAGCAAAGATGGCCAAAAAAGGAGAGGAGAAGGAAAAGAAGATAGAGCACAGTCTCATCGATGCTCCATTTACTTAAGTGCTGGATGACAAAAGGGCTTTCTCTTCCCCCTCCTCCAATTCACACTGCCAGCCTCAGTTCAAAACATGTATAAGGGGCATTAACATCCAGGGAAAAGGTGAATTAAAGATAATGGAAGCTGATGGTCTGAAATGTCATCCCCACCACCACCTAACCCACAATAAAAATACAGTACATTAAAAAGGAATTTAAGATATGGCATTTTCCCACAAACTTTCTAAAACCCCACAGTTGCCTACCTTTTAAAAACACACTGTGACATCATAATACATGTTCTTCTGTGTTATAAGAGAATGTGAGTTTTTAAAAACATGGTTACACAATGAGATGCCTACCCCAATTATATAGGAAAAGTATGATGAAAAGAAGCACTCCAAAGTGCTAACAGCTTGTGTTGCAGACACAGGGCTACGAGTATTTATTTCCCAGTCATCAAAATTCAACTAATCTGCACATTTTTATACTTGGGGGTGGGGGCCAAATTGTAATAAAATAAAAGCCAGGAAGTTATCTATCAAGAACTATAACAATACATATTAAAGAATCTTAAAACATTTAAATACCTTTCGTCAGGAATCTATTCTCAGAAAATAATTAAGAAACCATGAATGACTGAGATGTTCATCACTCTATTTATAACAGTGAGGCAGTGGTAAAGTATAGTAAAAGAATAGCTTAAAAATATCTAACAGCAGCCTTGGGAAAGAACTACTAAAGTAATTCTTTTTAAATTGTGTTTTTAGAGGACAGACAAGGGGAAATGCTGACAAAATTGTAAAGGAGGGCAGAAAATATCATGTACCAGTCACAATTTTTTAAAGTATGGATGCTCCTATACCAAGGTGACCAGATTTTAACATTGGTAAAGCGGGACACCATTGATAAAACTCATATCCTGGTGAAATAGCCACATGGCAGCCGAAACCGTATACCCTAGCTTGTCGTGCATTCTTTCCAAAAATCGGGACTTTTTAAAATTGCCACGGGACATGGGAAAATTGTTAAAAATTGGGACTGTCCCACCAAAAGCGGGACATCTGGTCACATTATCCTATACAAAATTACATATGTGTGCATACACATACATACACAAATTTGCATATACATACATGTACACACACACACACATAAGTTAGCCCCTGGGTTGAGCGTCAGACTTACAGACAACAGTTCCAAAACCAAACTTCCTGCCATCAGATTGATTCTAACTCACAGTGACCCTCCTTCGGGGCAAAGTAGAACTGCCCCTCGGGGTCTCTTCACGGGAGCAGAAAGCCTCGTTTTCCTTCCTCAGAGTGGCTGTTGAGTTCGACCTACTGACCAGCAGCTACCAGCCAACTCAAAACCCACTCCCACACTTGGGCTCCTTATAGACAAACTCCTTTCAGGCCTTTAGTGTATGTAAATCAGCCCTTATTTCGAAACAATTACACCAAACAAATTATTCATCACTAGCAGCAGGTGCAGCTTTCAAATCATTGAAAGGCTACTAGTTTTCTTCTTGCACTTTAGAGAATGACGAATTAACCTTTTGCACAGGCTCCGACTTACCTACAAGTTCTTAAATACACACTCAGAGCAGATCTCGTTTATAACCTAGCGACTGCTGGTATAGCATTAGTTGTGTAGTTATGTCTTTCGTGTACATCTTCCTTGGCCACATAATAGGTAAATGGCAAAATTGTTACAGATTATACTGTATATACTCGAGTATAAGCCGACCTGAATATCAGACAAGGTACCTAGTTTTACCACAAAAACTGCATTAAAAATGTGTTAAGAAATTCGGCTTATACATGAGTATATACGATAAGTCAAAGCTAGAAAAAGACCAAGTGTTAATAGGGCAATGGAAATGTAGTTAATTTCTTATTTTCTTCTTTGTATGTCCCTTCAGCTTAATTTTCAACAACACTGTTCTAACGATAAAGAGAAACTACAATATGTGGTTTTAAAAAGTAGAAGTAAATAATATTGGGTCAAGTGACAAAATTGGGAAATGGAAGAAGATCCGACTAAAGGATGATCTCACTAGAAGTGGTAGCTATGTCCTGTGGTGTCAGAATAAAAAGGAAGCGCACTGCAGATTCAGGGGTAAAAAGACATAGTGTCACTCAGATGCTTCGGGGAGAGCAGGCACACGCACACAGATATGCAGACTGACGGAGATAAGGACGCGAATACTAGAAAGTACAAAGCAAATGGATAAAATGCTGCTAATATGTGAGTCTGGAAAAGGAAAAGGCGCTTTGTACATTATTCAGTTTTCCTGTAAGCTCAAAATTACTTTATAATTTTGAGGGGGGGGAAGTAGGACCTTAGCATAAACGTCAAAAAAGAAAGAGCTCACCTCAATATTCTCTTCTCCAAATTTCTCCACAGCTCTCTCTTCAGAAAGGCCACAAGCACCATATTCCAAAGGTGTAAACACAGTTGTTGGGACATTTTCATAGTCACACTGTTTCAAAAGAAAGGGAAAGAATGACAAGTGAGATCATAGCGGGGGGGAAAAAAGTATTTCAAAAAGATTCACAACAGGGGGGAGAAGGGTCCCTAAATCTCGACGAGGAGCTCTGAAGTCAGCAGCTCAGAGACAGCGCTGGATAAATGGCTTCTCCGTCATGTACTAGGGATGCTACCAGCAAGGACATGCTTTGTCCTTCCCTCCGCGGAGGCCAAAACAACACACAGGGTGGTAAGGGTGCCCAAGGAGTGAGTCTTGTGCTGTCATTAATAACCTTCCTTGGAAAATCAATTAGCTAATATATAACAACAATCCTTTCTGGATCCTTTGCATTTTTATAAAACTCGACAATGAGAAAATTAATTTAATATGTGAAAGAAACGGCTACTAATTGAGCATTTCTATGATACTCACCAGCTGCACGATAATATAAAACAGTATAGAGCGTATCACAATGCTATAATAGATGGTACCTATGGTACTCACCAACAGCAGGACAATATAAAACAGTATAGAGCGTATCACAATGCTATAATAGATGGTGCCCATGCTGTTGCGAGGTGCTGGGGCATCCATTCCGACTCCATGCGGCCCTCAGAATGGACACTGGAACAAGCCCTAAGTTTCCTAGACTCTAGAGCAGTGATTCTCAACCTTCCTAAGGCCGTGACCCTTTCATACAGTTCCTCATGTTGTGTGACCCCCAACCAGTGCTACTTCATAACTAATTTTGCACTGTTATGAATCAGGCGACCCCGTGAAAGGGTCGTTAGACCCACAGGAGTCTCAACCCACAGGTTGAGAACTGCTGCTCTAGAGGCTTGATGGGAACTGATTGCTGGGTCTTCTCTCTTTCAAGCCGCTGGTGGGTCTAAACTACTGACCTTTTGGTGAGTGGCTGAGCATATAACCCCTGCGCTACCAGGGCTCCTTACCTATAATGGTTATGTCATATTACATGGCCATTTAGATACAATGAAGATCACAGAAATAAAAAAGCATGCTTACAACAATATTTCCCACAGTATATTTGATGATGTCAGTACATGTAGGTGATGGGAGGGGTCTAGAGTGGCACCATTTTGTAGAGGGCTGGATGAAGGAAAAACATATATATTTCTCTACTATCAACTCAGCGCCTTAATATA